ACTGAGGGCAGGCTTGGGGAGTGTGTGTCCTGGGACTAACCGGCCTCCACGGAGGAGTGACCCCATTCCGGGCCTCCAGCCACGCTGGAAAGTTCTTGACCTGGTGGGTTGGAGGGAGGAGAGGATTTGTTTCTTACTTTCTCAGTCCCCAGCCCGAAGCTCTGCATGTGCATTTGGAGGTGGGAGATGAGAAAGCTTGGGCTCTGCTGGGACATCTTAGAGATTGATGATTTATCCCAAGAGAGAGATCTGGAGCGTCACTGAAGATGATGACAGCGCAGCATCGCGGATCAGCAAAGCACCGCAGCGTCTGAGGCGTCTGAGGGGGTACTCACCAAGCGTTTCCCTAGCTCTCAGCTTATCCGCTGTGCCCAGCAACTCTGTGTGGTAGGCAGGGCGGCATAACTTCGTGGGTTGATGGCTGAAGCAACCAAGAGCTAAGTCAGCTCTAAAGGTAAGTCAGTCAGTCACACCCAGCAGGTAAGTAGCAGGGCGGAGCTCCAAACCTCTGCTGACTCCAAATCCAGCCGCTGTTACTCCCTCACTTCCTGAGTCTGAGCAGTCAGCCTCTGCCCTGCTCTGCTCAGGCCTGTTCCCACTCCTCTCGCCTGTCTCCTCCCGACACCCGAGGGAGGCCATCCCTTGCACACCCAGGCCCACCCCAGACTGAGACCGGCCATGGCTCTAGGTGGAGCATCGAGGAGCCACAGCTCAGCCCTCTGGGCATCGCCTGATGTTGCTCTTGTCTGGTCGCTCTGGCTCTGTGCCCAGCTTGGCTGGACCTGGACCTGGGTCTGGGTCTGGGCCTGGCCAGAGACCCAGACAAGACCCAGGTGCTGCCTCGTGCTTGGGTGTGGCCCTAGATGTAAGAGCTCTCTAGGAATTGGCCTCAGATTTTAGCACTTTTGGTATCAGCTGCTTCTGCCTCCTCCCCTTCCCAGCCCGGTTGGGTGAGGCCTTTGATACCAACTGCTTCCTCAACTAAGGCCTGTCCTCAGTTATCACTCATTTTGGACTTGCCTCCTGGGGCCAGTCTACTGCAGGGGACTACGTGGACCCTGACTGTCTGATTACCCAGCCGTGAACATCTGATATCTGCCTTCACCAGCGCCCCATGCAGTAAACAAAGGGCTGTGTTTCTGCCCTCACGTTTAGATCTGCCTATGTGAACTGTGAGGCCAAAATTCACAAAGCAAATGTAGGCACACCCTTGTATCTGTAGGACCTGGAAAAGCCCTCACAGTCTGTCCGCAGCGCCACTCTAAGAGGCCACACAATCAGGCCAGCACCCCTTGGGAAGACCCAGGGTTGGGGGATGGTGCTGTGTTTGGAGGGTGGGCTCACTGAGGCCTGAGTGGAATTTGCATGTGGATCCACAGAGCCTGTTTTATCTGGGAATCTAAAATAATGAGAGGTGACTCTAGCATGACTTAGGGGCTGCACTGAGTATATGGGGGGACACTGGGGATTTGGGTTTCCTGAGGAACCCAAGGCCCTAGATGAATGTGGGGCCCCACAGTGGGCGTCTCTGGACAGGTCACTGTGAGGTCAGCATAAGATTAGTGGGTCTAACTAGAATTCACTGGGGTCCTTTCAGATTATGGGGTCCCAAAGGGGTCAGTTCTGCCCCAAAGGATTTATTCTCACCTGATGATCAACATATCCAAGAGTTAGAGAGAGCCTGTGAATTCCTGAGGCTGCAATGTATTCCCTGACTCAAACAGGAAATCGCCTGGGTCCCATGTTATGTCTGATACAACCACTCAGGGAATAATGGGATCATGGAGAGGTCAGCAATGGGGAGGATGAAAGAGGGAGCTGACTGGAAATCAGCATCTGCGGTGGAGGGGAGGGTGGATTGTGGGAGTGTTTGGATGATGCGCCAGCTCATTCTTCTAGAGAGAGAAGAGGCCGGGTTGGGCAAAGCATGAGGTCCTTGAGTTTGCTGGGGACTGGGACATGGCCTCCTAAGACTATTAGGACCAAATCCTGACCTTTGAGATGGATGTAGTGCAGACCTCTGAGGGAACAGATGTCAGGTAGGAACGGGGGCTGCTGGCTGCACTCAGTTGTGGAGAAGTGCCCTGCTGTGAGGCTGAGGCCCAGCCCCACCAGCAGCTTCACAGCAGACCCCGCCAGCCTCCTGAGCCAGCTGCCCCCTGGGTGGGGCAGGAGGCAGACCTCGGGGCCTGTGCACCAAGAGCCAAGCTCGGGAAGGGACTGTGCAGGGGGTGGTGTGCACCAACTCCTGTCCTATCTATCCCATCGCCCCCAGGAGCTGTCGACATTCATTCATTCATGCAGGTGGGCATATATTTTAAAAAGTGTTCATTACACCTACCCTTTGACCTTGCCAAATCATTCCTAAAATTTATACCCAACAGAAATGCATACATATGTTCACCAAAACACAGGAAGAAGAATGGTAATAGGCCAGCACTGGGAATGACCCAAATGCCCATTAACGATAGAATGGATTAATTATAGTATATTCATGCAATGGAATACTATGCAGCAATGAGAACAAATAACATGGATAAATCTCACAAACGTTTAACTGGAGTGAAAGAAGCTACTCCCCAAAGAGTACATAATGTACTTTATTTATATGAAGTTCAAACCAAGCAAAGCTCCTGTGCTGGTGGAAGTCAGGATAGTGGTTAACCTGGGGGCATGAAGAACAGAGAATTCAGGGGACCTTTGGGTGCTGGTCATTTCTATTTGCTTGATCTGGGTGCTGGTTATATAGATGTGTTTACTTTGTGAATTAATCCAGCTGTACACATGGTTTGTGAGCATTTCTGTCTATAAAAAGTTTACTTAAAAAAAAATAGTGACTGTAAAGAAAAGATGGTGATACCTGTTCCTTTTTAAGTACTGTGCTATGGAGGACACAGGGGTGGACAGAACACAATCCTGCCCTCAGGAGTGATGGAGACAGACGGGAAAACACCCAAGCGTGGAAACAGGGTGAGTCAAACTGCCGCTTTCCTCTGGGAGCTGGGGAGGCTTCCCAGAGGATTAGGGTGTGGAAGGCCTGGTGGCAGAAAGATGGCCACGGACACCCCAGAGAGGAGAGGCCGCTGGGATGAACCTCTGATGAGCCAGGGCCGCCCTCTGGGAGCTCAGCTGTGCTCAGACTCCCTGGGGGCCTGGAGTTGGCCCTGGGCTGCCCAGAGGACAACATACCAGGAGGCCTTCCCTGCATCTCTGGGCTTGTCACAGGCATCTGATCCTGGAGATGCACCTTTGGGAAACCATTTTCAGCAGGCAGAGCTGAGTGGAAACACTGCTTCTAAAAGGATCTCCAGAGCTCTGAATTATTTATTGACTACAACATTCATCATTAATGAAGCCCCCCCGGCTTTCCTCTCCACAAACACCTCCAACCGAGGTAGGCTCTGGTTGGTAATCTGTTCCCTTTCCCCTTGTAAATCATCTTCCCACACGTCACTTGGACCTTTGCTGTGTAGATGGAGCAGATCGCTTTCATCATCTTTAGTTTTCAGAGGAGCAAACAGCCCTCCTCAGCTCACAAGTGGGTCTGTGCCTAGAGCCCGGGCTCCTGATTGGCAGCCCAGGGCTCTTTCCACCAGTCCCTTCTGCCTCTTGGAGAACTGGGTGAGACGCTGTCCCCCTGATGGCAGGAGGGAGGGGCAATGCAGAGTGAAGGGGGGCGGCCTTCAGCTAGAGCTGGGAGCTGAGAGGAACTGTTTTCAGGTGGGACATAGACCCTCCATTTAAACCTTTACTGGTTACCAGGTAACCTTTGTTTCAAAGGAGAAACAAAACTGTGACGCACACTGCTGTGTTTGCCAACCAGACTCCTCTCCCCTCTCCCATCAATCAGGGCCCTGATTTCCTTTCAGAGGCTCATCTCTCCCTCGGCAGCATGGGAGGAGACCGTTCAGACCAGGTAACTGCCCTCCCCAAATGGTAGCTGATGGGTCTCTGGACTCTCCCTCCCCCAGCTCTTGCCTCTTATCAGCTGTCACAGCCAAGGGGTGAGCACGTGACCTAGAAAAACAGCTGGAGTGGGGCGCTCAGAGCTGCCTGCTGTAGCCTGCTCCTCGATCCGGGGAGCGCCCCCCATTCCCCTCAATGAACTCCACAGCAATGTCAGCAGAACCACTGCTGTTGCTGAGTCTAGAAAGTTCCAGATAAGTCTTTGCCCCTAAGGAACTGCTTTGAAGCGGGTCTGGAGATTACTGCAGAGTAGAACGTGTGCTAAGTGCCAGGAGAGGGGACAGGGACAGTGGCTTCCAGATGGCAGGGATGGGGGCTCAGCTCAGGCCTGCCACAGCCCGAGTGCTACCCAGCACTCACCTACCCTCAGGTGAGACAAGAGGGCTCTCCAAATCCACTCCATATCCTTAGGAAGGCACGACCTGAATATGAACATGCTGTATTCAATGGTGCTGTGACTCCAATGACAAGTTAAAGAACTCTTGGGGACCGACAAAATAGGACACTGGCTGGAGTTGGTGTTTACTGGCCCTGATTTGAACAGGGGTCTGACACTCAGTAAGCTGCCCTGGCTCTTTAGACTATGGAATGAAGAAGGGCAATCACCAGGTTTTGCTTTGAGAATATGAAGCTCCTTTGGCCTTAATTTTAGGCTCCTTAAGAAACCTTCTGATATGTGATTTGGGGAGGTAGCATCACTGGGTCTGGAATTACAGTTCTGAGTTCAAATCCCCACTCTGTCACTTCTTGAGAATGTTGCCTTGGTTAAATTGTTTATCATATCTGAGCCTCAGCTTTCTCTTCTGTAAAATGGGGTTGCAACCGGCATCCAGTGATCACTTAATGCTCACCCACTTCCCCTAATTTGACCTGCTCACCCGTCCATCAGGAGGCAGCAGCCTGTGCCGCCAGGTCTTGGAGGAATTACATAATAAAAGCAGAAATAAACAATAAAAGACAACATAAAACAACATTTCGGGGGCATTTGCTATGTGCCTGCACAGAGCTAAATGTTTACAAGTATTGTCTCATTTAGTCTTTACAATGGCTTTATTTTATAAGAAATTGAAGCTTAGAGACGTTAAGTAACTTGCTCAGGATCACAGCTAGTATGTGGCAGAAGCAGGATCTACTTTCTATTAAAAGTCAATGTATTTGCATCCAGTTTACACGTCTGTTTCCTGTGGGCTTGGTTAGCGTAAGCCAGTCCATGAGAGTCTGGTCATCCCTGAGTTACATGATGGGATGGAGCACCTCTGCCTGTGAGGTGGAAACCTCGTCTCTGCGTGTGGTGACCTCCTGTGCTTGTTGGCTCAATGACTTTCAAAGTCCCAGGGCCAAGAAACGTAAAAATACTGCTCTGGCAGCCTCGTCCCTGTCATCGGAGCACTTGGGTGGTTGGGCTGCTCTGAATGGAGCCTGCGAGGGAGCTGCCGATTTGAATAAAGGTAGGGTTGCCACAATCAGGGTCCTTGACTTTGAGCTAATAAAACTGAATCGTGGCAGCAAGGGTTCTAAATGCCCTTTTGACTTGATAGACTGAGAGCTAGACAGTCCGCCAGCAGGCCTGCAGAACTTCATCACAGAGGCATTTATTGTTAGAAAGGGAAAATCTGACATTCAAATGGGTTTTAACATGAACACATCAAAAGGGGATGCCCCAGCCCTGAAGGTCCTTCGCTCCCGGAAATGCAGGTTTCGGTTACACTGCAGCCTGGCCAACCACTGCGCCCTGTTCCAACAGCAGAGGAGTTGAAGTCCCTTCATGTTACCCACCAGCTGGAGGAGACGGGGTACGACAGCCTCCGGAATGCCATCTGTGTGAGCTCCGCCTGTTCTCTCGGCTTCCGGGGAAACAGGAAAATGTCCCAACAGGCAAAGCGCATTTTGTTAAAAAGCTAGACGGAGGTATGTGACATTCCTGCCCTTAACGAGCAAAACAAAATCAACCAGTCTGGTGAAGTGATGTGGCGGCAACACCATGGAGGAGACAGGGAGTCTCCTTGGGGAAGGGCGGGCGTGGAGAAAGGCCGGACACAGAAGTCCACCTGGGAGCCTCTGCTCAGAGTGTGGGGGGCAGTGGGGGCCAAGCCAGTTGCCTTGGATCATCTCTGGTCTCCAGGGCCAGGCCCCTGAGAGGCTTCAGTCCTCAGTCACAGGCGGGGGGATGAGCTGCAGCTGGAAGTTCTCCTTCTGGAAGATGCTGTTGAAAGCCGGGCCACTCTGGGAGCTGCTGAACGGCCGGTAGCTCTCGCTGCTGCGATTCTGGGCGAGTTCTGTAAGAAGAGCCAGCTGCAAAGGGGGGACACACATTAACCAAGGCTTGCGGGGGCAGAGGTCAGTGTGGGTGGCGTGGGAGGGGGATGTGGAGCAGAGGCAGAGGAGCCTGAACTCCTCGGCCTCGAATACATGAGGGACGGTGCTGCCTGCAGGGAGAGAATAAACACTGGCTTAGGGTCCCAGGTCTGCATCTCACAGACAAGTAGGGTGACTTTGGGCAAGTTAACTTCATCTTTTAGGGCCCAAATTTCCTCCTTTAATAATGATGAGATTAGACTGGGTAAGGCTGTGGGCACATCAAACTGTGATGCTCTCCGACAAAAGAAAGCTGTCTGACCCTGACCCTCCTGTGCCCTGAGTGCTCCTTCTCCCGCTGGTGTGTGACCCTGTGGCCTCCTCTCCCTCCCTGTGGCCACCCCCTGAGCTGAGCTTCTCCACTCGCTGCTCATCTCATTCCACACTCTCCCTCTCAGTGAGTTCTCCTCGGGGTGAGTAACCTGGAATTATGATCACTGGCTCTGACCTCTGTCGTTGTGTCACCTAGACAGCTCCAAATGGATGCCCAGCTGCCACTTCAAACTCAGGGGCTCTGAGGGAAACTCAGAGACTCCACCTTCTCCTCTAGGAGTCCTCCCTGCTCCCAGCTTCCCTATTTCCACCAACGACCCCAGCAAAACCCTCAATCTGTGCAGGGCTCAGTTCTGAAGACCTGCCAAGGAGAGAGAGTGGCAGGAGGAAAGGTTAATGCCAGCCCATTGGGCAACTAGGCTCTGCCATTCAGAGGGGCCAACCCTTCTACCTCAGAGAGGCTTTCTGCAGAAGCAGGAGCCTGATGGCCTGGCCCTCGAGACGCCCTTGAAGGTCAGAGAAGAGAGAATTCCACCCGGAGAGGGCAGTGTGAGGAGTGAGCCCCAAACACGGCAGGGCGGGTCTGTCTGTGTTGGGCTCTGGCCCCGAAGCCCGCGGGTACTTCTCACAGCCCCAGGTAACTATCTGTAGTGAGTGCCCTTCAGGGGCCAGGTGCTATGCCAGGTCCTTTATATGTCTGTTGTTTCTAATCCTCCATGACAATCCTCTGGGTAAAAAACCCAGAGCCCTGAGAAGTTAAGTAACTTGCCTCAAGTCACCCAGCGGTGGTGGTGTGGGACTCTAACTCAGGTCCACGTGGTGACTTCTGCTCAGCCGAGCTGCCTACGCTTCTGCCTTCCCTGGAGATAACTTCTCTGTTGCCTGTTCCCCACCCACCTACTCTGCCAGGAAGTGTGTCTTCTAGCTTTTCTCTGACCTCTGGCAAGGGGCTCTTTCCTCATGCAGGCAATAAGGGCACAAGGCTCACGTGCGTCTGTTTGTCACTTCTGTTGAAAACTCCCTACCAGTGGCTGTGGTAATTGGGGAGACATCTGAAGCCCCCTAAGTTCAAAGTGCCAATTTATCTAAAATCATGCAGCCCCAGCTCCTGGCTCAGAGACACGTCTGTGGTCCAACTCATAACACTGGCTCAGAGGCTCCGACTGAAAGTTACTCAGCTGGCCAAGGACACAGGAGGTACACTCGCTCAAGCAGTCCTGCCAGGGACTTCCACTGCCGCCCAAGCAGGCTACAGGGAGACGGCCCTTGCTCTGCTCGAGCCCACCTCGTGCCACTGCCTGTCTCCTGTAACCCTCTTAGCGGCCCATCGGCCAGTGAAGTTCTCCACGAGAATGATTACTGCAATGCCATGAACAGAACCAACAATAGACGCCACAGAAACTCCAAGTTCTTTCACACTGGACCCTGTGAGGCAGAAAGATCAACCACAAAAAATATTTTCTATTTCCTAAGAAAAGAGAGGTTTTTGTGTTCTACTTCTGTAACTTAGTGATCTGGAAATCGATGAGTCCTGAATAAGGGCTCAACAGTGTGAAGCAGCAGAACTTCCTCAGAAGGCCCAGAAACCCAACTCCTGGGGCAGAGCTTGGCTGAGGCTGGGAAGGGATGGAGCGGATGCCAGTTGAGTAGAGCTGCCAGACCACATTCAGGAGAGCCCTGGAGACGTCTCCTGGCATACAAACCTCTGCCTAGACCAGCTCTCCAAGGAAACACCAGTTTTCCTCTGGCTGCCAAGCAACCTAGCTGGTGTTTGCCTAAGAACGGAGAGTGGGAGAAGGGGGCCCAGGCACAGAAGCGGAGCACGGAAGTGTCTGCGCGAGCTCAAGCTACGCTCCGGGAGCACACCCGGCCCGGCTGGGATGTAGGTATGGCTTGGGGAGTGGAAGAGGTTTGGACTCCACCTTCAGGTGGTGGAGAGCCAGGAACGTGTTTTAAGCAAGCGGCTAACATGACATTTGGGTCTGGAGAGGGTACCCAGGCAGCAGCACGGAGAAGGGACAGACGACCTGCAGTGGCCTCTGTGAGTTGGAGGGAAGGGGAGAAATACACAGGAGAGGTAGAGAAGATGCCTACAGGATGTCCCCAGTGAGTGGATGGAATGGGAGGGATGAGTCCAGGGTGCTGCTCTGGGTGACTGGATGAGAGGAGATGCAACCCGGAGACAGGCACCAGGCAAGGAAGAACAGGTCGAGCAAGTCAATGAGTACGCTTCTGAAGAGCCTGTGGGGCACCCAGACTGGTATTGTGGCAGGACTGCTAGCAGCCCGCCAAATCTGTACTCTTCTTCTACACTTACAGGATAGCAAGAGTTTCAGCCCATGGCCTTTTGGAATAAAGACTAATTTTCCCAGTCTCCATTGCAGCTAGGTGTGGTCATGTGTCTAAGTTCTGGACAATGGAGGTAAGTGGAAGTGGTATATACAATTTTTAGGACTGTCTTTACAGGACTTATGGTCTTTCTCCTTCTCCTCCATCTTGCTAGCCAGAATGCAGATGTGATGCCTGGAGCTGGAGCAACTATGTTGAACCATGGGTATAAGCCATATGTTAAGGATGGCAGAGCCACAGGATAGAAGGAATCTGGAGAGAGGTTCATGGAAGGTACCCTGTTGATGCCTGCATTTACAATTCTATCTTGGTTAAGCCATATAATCTATAATTTAGCATTTGCCTTTCATGGCCAAAACAAATTCAACCAATGCAGATGTCCAGCAGGGTCTGGGGCTCAGGGCAGAGCTGGCTGTCATCAGGATAAACAAAGGCCTCCCCGATGAGGGATTAGGCTTATGCCTGCTCTCTCTGGAGGAAGTACAAACACAGATGCCCTCCTGTGTCCTCACAGCACATGGCAGGTAAGGGACAGATATCTTTCCACTTCCTCTGAGGGCTCCACGTGGCCACACCAGGGATGCCAGGGAACTTTATAGACTGAGGAGGGGCTGGAGTAAGGACTTGAGGACACTGTGTTTCCAAAACAGTAATTATAAATAGGGAAATAAAAATTTAGACAACCACGCAAACATTACCCTGGAACTTCCTCGGTAGAGATGGCAGAGCTGATCAAATGCTTGGATTTGCTGTGGATCCAAAACAGGTTCTGAGGGTGCCTGAGAAATCAAAAACGGTAAGGTTAATAACCCCCACGGGCAGCCCCTGTACTTGGCTAATGGTGAAACAGGACGTGGTGCTTCCTTCATCCCTCTGATGAAAATCCCTGCTACCAGCAACTGGGGAGAGAGATTTTACTGAACGTGAATTAGAAATCAGCATGTCCCTCTACAGTCCCTTGGTGCCAGCCCCTACGTTGACCTCTCTGTAGACCTTTTCCCCAATGTGGTCTCTACATTTCCCATACTTACGAGCTTCCTATAGGGCTTCTTGATCCCTCTTTGCCTTTACGATGCAGAGCAATTTAGCTCCATCCAGCCTTGCATTCCCATATCCATCACTGAATATGGCCAGCAAAGATGCCCCTTCTTTGTGGTGGTAGTGGGAAATGTATTATAAATGAAAAATCACGTCATTTCCCTGCCTCATCATAAAGCTGGTAGCCACCTATGGGGATGCAGTTTTAATCTACTGCTTTTTGAAAGAGGGGAAGTCTAACTTGCTTCTACAGTAGTCTGGTTTTGTTCCACATGTCACTGTGGTAGAACACGCCAATACTGTGGTTCTGCTCTCAGTGGATCTGATCCAACTCACAGCTAGAGAGAAGAAATGGGATCCTGGTGGAGGTGGCCACAGGCTTTGGAGTCAGAGGTGAATTGGAATGCCAGTTCTGACACTAACCTGCTGTGTGACCTTAGGCAAGTCACTTCTCTGAGCCTCAACTGCCTCACCTCTAAGTGAGAGAGGATAATGCTTCCCTATGAGGTTACTGAAAATTAAATTAGGTGAGATACATATTTAAAGTGTCTTTAACCTGCCTGGCACCCCCAATGGCTCAGTAGATGCCAGCTTTTATTACTACAATTTAGAGATACCCTTAGTTAGACGTTGATTTCAGAAGTGTTTCAATGATGAAAGATCTGGGTGTCGACATGAGCACGTACCTATGTGGGCTGAGGAAGGGCTGTGGGGTTGAAGGGAGCTGCAAAAGCTGGTCTGAAGACATGCTCTGTTTATAGGAAACTCCTTGCAAGAACAGCCACCAAAACAATGATAACAACAAATGCCTGTGTCCAGGATGTGGAAGAAGTTCAGGAACAGGGCAAGCAAGTGGATGAGCAGGGGAGACACAGAGCAAATAATACCACTACTAATAGTTACCATGTACTGAGCATTCCTATGT